TGGGGAAAGATAAAGTCTTTTTCTCATCTGAATCGAGCAAAAAGAGCTCCGCGATAGTATCTTGTACCACGTCAATCGCTTCAAGCATACAGGTCCCTTCCCAGATATCGTTTCGTGTTCGCTTTCCTCCTAGATACCCGCTCGACGTCGGAGGCGGCTTTCTCCCCACCCCTGATCCAATATTTTGAACCAGACATATTGAGCCAGCAGGCTGTTGAGCGACACCGAAGAAACAAAGACGGCATGACGTACTCCCTCCGAAAGATCACCTTGACCACATTAATGCGAGGACGCGCTGACGCTTCCATAACAAGGAGCCCTGATTCAGAGACGGAGGAATTGGACGAAGTATACCTCCACACCGTAACGATTCACGGACGAGAATTCCACAAGTACTCCATCGATAACCAGATAGCTTTTGAGCCTGTTGACGATGTATGACCGTTGTCTTCAAAATTTGGCAAGTATTGACCGTTCTTTATTATCAGGAAGAAGCAGAACGTCTCGACCTCCAGCATCGAGTGTTCTCTAGGATCTTCGACGGCCGACTGATTTTTCCACCGATCCGTCGACTTCGCAGGGTACTCGACTGCGGTTATGGCGCTGGATCTTGGGCAGTCGATGTGGCTACACAATATCCAGATTGCAAGGTGAACACCCGTGTGCTCAAAGCGTTGTATGGACCGAGGCTGACAAACTTGGCGTGAGCAAGGTAATCGGTCTCGACATATCTCCACACAAGAATCCGGATGACATGCCCGAGAATCTATGGTTACAGGTGGGTGGAGTCTTCCAGCGATTTGGAAATCATGGAGATATAGCCTGCAGGGCTTAGACTGGACTTCCAGGAAAGCGTCAGACTGACATCCCATCACCAGGTCGATGACCTCAATCGTCGATTCACCTTTCCCTCCAATCATTTCGACCTTGTTCACTCAAGTCTCCTTGCGACCGGCATCAACAGAGCCAGATGGCCGTCCTATCTCGCAGACATCAAAAGGTGCGCTCTCTGTTGAGTCAGGGTCGTCAGCCATTTGACAAATCAAGCAACTGGGCGAAGGCTGACTTGGTCAAATGCTTTAGAATATTGAAGCCAGGTGGATGGGTACAATTGATCGAAATATACTTCAACGTTCAATCGGACAACGGCTCGATTACCGAGGAACATGCTCTGAGACGATGGAGCACTCAGTTCATGAGATCATACGAAGGAACAAAGGATCTGCGTGTAGGGACACGGTTAAACAATCTTCTTCTGGCGGAAGGGTTGGAAGAGGTTGACGCGAGAATGATTCCTCTTCCTCTTTCTGCGTGGTCCAACGGTAAGTCCTCACTGCCTGTTTCGTTTGCGGTTGCTCAACCAGTGTTCAAGACCCTAGAATGCGAGATATCGGCATGCTTAACCGAGAGAACATCAATAAGCTCCTTCCATCATTAGCGTTGTATCCATTGACACAGATTTCACGCGTGCCTCAGCAGGATTTCCGGGAGCTCATTGCTCAAGCACGGCAAGAGGCAGAAACAGCGAACCTGAAGGCGTACTTCCCCTTGTAAGTGATAGTGGGTCGACCAGTTATGACTCCCATCTAACGGTTCAGGTACGTTTGCATTGGAAGGAAGCCACGATAGGTTGTCTGAAATTGAGGAGTGAAGAATTTCGGCGGATCGTTCTGTCTCACGTTTCAAAACTGGCGGGGCGCTCCCAGTTTACTTCGAGGCACACACATTCCTGGAATTCGTAATGTGAATCATGTCTGCTCGTCGTCCGATTAGAGATCTGGTTTATACTAGCTCTGGAAACGGAATGTGACAGAGTTCGGTTGGTCAAGTGTCTTTCTCCCGCCTCGTTTCTGAAATCTGTGGCCGCGAGTCAGAATATCAGTCTCAATAGTTAGCATCTGTTTTTGTTTGACGGCGTCGAGTTCGCAGCATGACAAGCTCAAAGTTAACACTGAGAATCAAGCAGTGACTCCAACTCTGCTCTTCTGTAACATGATCAGCTTCCTGGAGAGGCCGAGACTTGTGTTGACACGCGCTGATAGCTCATCATCACTTTTCATTTTACCAAATGTGTCAGTGAAATCATCATTTCGAAAGGACTTCCTGTGAATATTCAGAAAAGCAACCTGGACGCCCTTCAGGAAGTACGACATGTCGCTAATTGGCAGGCGCTAGGGCACAGTCCTCGAGAAACAGCTTCTACCATTGCGAGTTTGGTCTATTGTTGGAAAGACATATGAGATATTGAAGATTGAGCAACCTCTCCAAGGAGATGAAATTGGATAAACAACCCATGGCAGAGCAATGATGGATACTTGAAGGCGAGAAATGAGTAAGGAAGAGAGAGGAGGGAGACTGGATGAAGGGGCTCGAGAGATGGACCATCGCGGGTCCGGAACCAAACTGACGGGACGCTGATTATTGAACCTTACCCAGGTACATACCGCGAGCCAGAATGAAGATTTAAGGTACACTTCCAGACGACAGTCAATAACCTAACCACACACACTCTCTCTAGTTTCTCTTATAACATGCTATTGAGAAGCCGATTGCATCTCGATATTTGGGATCTGTCTAACTATCAAGTCTAGGATAACGTCATGCCAATCCCGCATCTGCTCTCTACCCTCCGAGGAGGTCCTCGTCAGTGGTGTCCGCATTGGCAGTTTGGCGGTTCAGGTTTTTAATGCGTCAATTGTCATGGCCCACTGAGGGCCCGAGACCCCTTCAGGCTCGGAAATATGTCAGAATGAATGTGAACTGTTCCGGTGCTCAATGCTCTGTGGCTGTTCTGCTGTTCTGACATGTTGTTCAATCCACTCCGGGCCTCCCGACCCTTTTCACGAACAAGTAACCTCGTTGACCGTCAATAACGAAGCGGAAAATCTGGCTGTCACTGTATCTAGTCAGAATCAATCAGGATGACCTAGTCAGTGACCCTGAGACATGAACGCGCCATGGTACCGAGAAGGGTGAGATGGGATGTCACCGAAATGGCAAGTGCCCAATTTTGTCTGGACAACATGACGACGAGATTTAGATACAGAGCAAGAAGAATCAAGGCCACAGTGTTCGAGACGCTGGATGGATCAATTCGCTAGTTTTATTACAATGTGACGAGTATATCGAGTCAGATCGCACACATCTTCGCAACACTGCGTATAGGCATGCTTAATTCTTATACTCATGTCCAAAAATTCTTCCGTTCAGGCACAGTAAGGAGATATAATAACAGCAATTATGACAAGTAAAAGAAATGCACACTCAACTTGGCTCAATTCTGACCATGCGGAGAGCACACGTCCGGCGCGTTTGGGCGCTTATGGCGCAAATCAGCTTTGTTGGTGCCTTGCTGATGCCTGAACTACAAGGCTGTGATTGTGTCCCAATCGGGTAAGTGTCCGCGCTCCGGGCGGGGAGAAAAAAAGTTGGATCCAGCTTGAATAACGATCATTATCTTTTTACAGCGCGCCTCCGCTGTTGATCAACGCAACTCGGACTCAAGATGCCTTCCACATACAAGAGGGACAAGCCGTGGGATACGGACGATATCGATAAATGGAAGGTATGCATTCTCAAAATTCATCCTCCGGCATTCTGCTCGATTCTAATGTGCTATCACTTGACTAGATCGAAGAATTCAAGCCCGATGACAATGTCGCTGGTAGTTTCGCGGAAGAATCGTCGTTTGCGACCCTGTTCCCCAAGTATCGCGAGCAATACCTGAAGGAAGCTTGGCCGGTTGTGACAAGAGCGTTGGAGAAGCATGGAATCGCCTGTACGCTTGACTTGGTTGAGGGTAGTATGACTGTGAAGACTACTCGTAAAACCTTCGACCCTGCAGCCATTCTGAAGGCTCGTGATCTGATCAAGCTGTTGTCGAGAAGCGTACCCGTTCAACAGGTGAGTTTTCGCAGTGACATTGAACCCCCGCCTCATAACTGACGACATGGTCCAGGCCCTGAAAATCCTCGAAGACGGCGTCGCATGCGACATCATCAAGATCCGTAACCAAGTCCGCAACAAGGAACGCTTCGTGAAGCGCCGACAACGACTCCTCGGCCCCTCCGGCTCGACCCTGAAGGCGCTGGAGCTGCTCACCAGCACCTACATCCTGGTCCAGGGTAATACGGTCGCGGCGATGGGTCCGTACAAGGGGCTGAAGGAGGTCCGCCGGGTGGTCAACGACTGCATGGCCAATATCCACCCGATCTACCACATCAAGGAGCTCATGATCAAGCGCGAGTTGGCGAAGGACCCCACGCTCGCCAACGAATCCTGGGACCGGTTCCTGCCCAACTTCAAGAAGCGCACGCTGTCGAAGCGTCGCGTTCCCTTCAAGGTCACCGACAAGTCGAAGAAGGTGTACACACCGTTCCCGCCGGCGCCGGAAAAGAGCAAGGTGGATCTGCAGATCGAGTCCGGCGAGTACTTCCTGTCCAAGGAGGCCAAGGAGCGCGCCCAGAAAGAGGAGGTTATGGAGCGGCAGCGCCAGAAGCGCGAGGAGAAGATGCAGGAGCGCGCCAAGTCGTTTGTTCCGCCCGAGGAGCTGCAGGCCGAGGAGAAGAAGAAGGAGAAGAAAGAGAAGAAGAAGCGGAAGCGCGAGGCCGAGGCGGAGCCCGACGTCGACGGCTCCGAGAAGAAGGAAAAGAAGAAGAAAAAGAAGAGCAAGTCCAAGGACGCTTCTTCGGACGGCGAGGCATAGAGGCATTCGTACCACATCTGCCTTTGTGGTTAGGGATTTTCCATCCACGACGTTCACATTCAGCTTCTGCTGTCTTTTTTTCGTCTGTTTGCTCTTCGAATACAAGGCGCTTAGGCATAGCATGGGTTGGAGTTATTATTGAATTTGTTGTTTCTATACTGCGTTTATACTTACCAAGGAGGGAAAAGTCACGTCGAAGTTCAATTTATGTACGTATACCAACTGACATGGAATTCCACAGTGAGACTTGCAATCTAGTTCGTCTTCGGTAAAGTTACTGGCGCCATCATCTACATCACATGTTGACCGAACTTCCGGAACCAAGCACCCTACCATTTTTCTCCCTCAGGAAAACCTCCTGCTCCCTCCGACTCTTTTCCAAATCAACCCCAAGCACCAAAACCGCAAAACTCACCACACTTAAAGCAAACAGGAAATAAAACGGTGTCGACACATTCCCCGAAGCCGAGGCATCGATGATCGCACTCGAGACCAGCGGCCCAATGAACGAGGACGTCTTGCCGATGATGCTGAACAAACTGAAGAATAGGAACTCGTGGCCGCGGGGCGTGACCTCCGAGATCATGATCTGGGAGTAGCTGTACCAGGGGCAGACGAAAAGCCCGTAGAAGGCTTGGTAGAGCTGTTGGGTGCTTGTTAGCAGACGCGACGGGAACTCATCTGGGTGGTGATGGGCTGGGTAGGGCTGAACGCTTACCCAAATCTCCCAAGCATGATGGAAACCGAATCGCTGCGTCCAGATGCCGATCATCCCCCATCCGTCAAGCAGAATGATTCCCACTGCGATAGCGTTGAACATGGTCTTCGTGCTGAGGTTGTAGCGCCGCTGGATGAACCAAAAGGCGTAAATGCCAAGTGCCTGGAGAGATCAAGGTGTTAGCGAGGACGGGTCGGTCATGGGGACAGAAGACCTACCTGCGCTGCTATGCCTACGATCAGGAGATAGGTCAGTTGCAGTGTGTTGTATGCAACAATGCTATTCTGCAATGTCGCAATCACGGTGACTGTTGTGTTGAGGGAGTCGCCGAGGAGGAAATATCCTTCAGGCGGGTGCTGGTCAGTCACCACGAGGGAGATCTCCATAGCAGTATACGACCTTACCTATCAGATACAGCAGACTCTGCTTGAGTTTCCACACCTCCCTTCCGGCATGGTATAGCTGCGTCAATCCCGCAACGACAATATTACCTCTGGGGTCCTGTCCCGGCCGTCGTTTCTCGAGAACAAACCACGGCAGCGAGACGAGCAGCCACACCCCCGAGGCGAACGCAATCAGCACGCTCAGCCCCCAGTTATTATTCGCCTGGCTCTCATCAACCCTCAGCCCAAACATGATCCCCACAATGACAGCGAGGATCACAATCTCCGCGACAGACTGCACATAGAACGCTACATTGGCCAGCCGGCTGCGCGCCATCGTATCCGCATCGTCGTACTCCTCCCGCGAGATCCTACCTGCAACATACGCATCTGCGCGATCCTTCATCTCGGCCGTATTACGCGCCAGACCTGGAAACGCAGCCGTCCAGAACGTCAGCGTCGTCTGATACGCGATCAATCCCACAATGTACAATCCCACCGCGACGTGCCATTTCTCCTGCGTGTGGACGCCCAACCAGCCGAAGCCGATGGCGTAGGCGATCACCGACAAGACGATCAGGATATTCGGCCGCCAGGTCCCGAAGTCGGCGAAGCTGCCTATCACCAGGAAGACGACGACCTGGATGGCGAAGGAGATGCCGTTGCTCAGGAGGACAATGCTGTTTATCGAGCGCTGGCGGCCTGCGAAGGGGAGGGTTCCCTGTTCGCCCGCGGCTTGGTAGAGGAGGTTCTGGAAGGCCGTAGGAGCGAAATCTACACCTTGATCAGTTTCTTTTCCGATCGATATTCAAGATGATAGTAACATACTGAATAGTGAGAGTCCGTTATTTCCAATGTAGTAGCTGTGGAATGTTAGCGATTAATTAGTATGTTGGTTCTCACGCACGCATAATAGGCCCAGATCTCCCATTTCGTCGTGCGATATCTCTCGTCAAATAAATCAGGCGCTACAAGCTGTTCGGACATCCCATTATCAACCGCGTGGGAAGTCACTTGCTGCTTGAGTTTTGCATTGCAAGTAGTAGATGCTTCCACATCGTTCAAAGCTGAAGGGGACATGCTCGTGTGTATACACTCTCACAACAAGGATATTGAGGGGTCAGGATGCAGGCTGCAGAATGCCAGGATATGTAACCCCGCGCATTCTGCATAATCAAGTAGGGAAAACTGAAAAGCCCTTATCCAGATTATGACTCGCGTAGTGGCTAGTACTACCTTAACAAGCTAGAGTGATTATTTTCCCTGTATTGGTGGGGAGAATCCAGTTAGCAGTCGGTCGATCGCATCCACGGGGTAGAGATAATATTACTATTGGCTGGATCTATCGAAGAGCCAGCCAAGGCATCCTGCAGTGAGACAAGATCTTGCCAAGTTACTTGAAGCTTTCTCGGACGCTCTTCGACGTATGGCATTTTGGAGATTCGACTGAGCTGGTCAGCAAACAGCTCCGTCGGACTGAATATCTCCGTGACGTTTTTTATATTGACAAGGGGCGAGGAGGTATCCGTGTCCGAGAATACAACTAACCATCTAATAGCAATCGTCAAGTATATACAATAGATCAAACACGACACTCTACAACCCAATCACAATTTGGCTCGTCCGCTCTCTATTGAAGACCAACTCTGCTCGTCTAGCTTCTGGTATGCGGTGCCGTTCAACCAGTACAGCTTGTCGCCCTTGGCCTCGGCACGGGGATCCCAGCCCTTCTTGGCCAATTCGCCTTTTGCCTGCTTGAATGTCACGCCAGTTGCTACCCTGTCAATGAAAAAAAAGGGAACATTAGTGAAAGAAGAAGTCGGAGTGTATTTGGGTCAACTCACTTCTCGGTCAGCCGAACAAGTCTCGGGATGGCATACGACGGTACACCCTTCTTTTTCAGCTCTTGGTGCAGGTTCGCCATGAACTCGGCCTCTGCTGCGGGGTCTTCGAGCGTAATACCAGCAGCACCCGCTTGACCGTCGTATCTGAAGCAAGAGTTAGCATGAGGGAACCCAACTGAATGAGAGAACATACCCGCTCAGTTTCACGCCGTAGACGACGGCGTCATGGACAGCTGGGATACGACAGATGTGGTCTCTGATTTCCCCAGCGCTCACATTCTCGCCCTTCCAGCGAAACGTGTCTCCCACGCGGTCCTGGAATTTGATCCAGCCCGAGTGGTCCTGGACGAGGAGATCGCCTGTGCGTTGGTACAGATCGCCCTTGACGAAGACGTCCCGCAGGAGCTTCTTCTCGGTAGCCTCCTCGTTGCGCAGGTATTCGGTCAGCAAGCCCCGGTCCCTGACTCGACCAATGGCCTCTCCCTCCTCGCCCAGCTTGGCCTTGACACAGAACCCGGTCTTCGGGTCCCGGTACGGCATCTCGGTATCCGTGTCGTACTTGACGATGAAGACGTCCTCTTCCAAGAATCGCCGGATGGGGCCTGAGAATCCTACTTTGCCTGCACCCCATGCACCCACGCCGTGATTGTCGAACTTGGCCACGCCTTCGGTGGATCGATAGAATTCGCGGATCTCGGGGACGTTGAATCGTTGCCGGAACCGCTCCCAGATCTCACCACGTAATCCGTTGCCCGCCGCGACGATGCAGGCGTGGTCCTTGTCGTAGGGAGACGGAGGTGTGGCTAGCAGGTATCGACAAAGTTCACCAATATACAGGATACGGGTCGCTCTCGAGTCATGGACATCTTTCCAGAATTGGGAGGCGGAGAACTTGCGGCGCAAACACAGGGTGCCTGCGTTGCCGACAGAGTAGCATAGGCCCGTGAAGTAGGCGGTGCCGTGGAAGAGAGGAAGAGAGGAATAGGTGCGCAGTGGGTAGTATTTGGAGGGGTTCCTGACATCCGTGCTCAACGGATTCGATGTCACCATGTTCATCATGTTGCGAATGGCACATGCTTTGGGTTTTCCTGTTGTGCCGGAGGTATAGATGAGTGCACACAGATCACGGAGAGATCGCTTGGCCGGGATCAAGCCAGTGGGAGAGTATTGCTGCAGGTCAGTTGCGGTGACCAGTTCAGTCGCGCCGACGAAGGTGCCATCAAATGACCCAATGTTCAGCGCAATATGAGGCATGTCTGAGCATACGAATTGCGACAGGTCTGGTGTGGAAATGATGAATTTTGACCCGGAGACGTTGAGACAGTGAATGAAGGTATCGTCTGGCTCAATTGGGTCAGTTCAATCGGTCGTAATAGGGCCGTTCTCACGAAGCTCATACCACGCAGGTTGTTATTGATCAAAGCAGCCACGGCGCCCAGTTTCGCCAGAGCGTAGATGGTCACCACCATCTCAGGCGAATTAGTATTGAACACGGCGACAAAGTCGCCTGCCTTGATATCTCGAGAGTGCAGCAAAGCGGCGAAGCGATCGACAACTGACAAAGACAACAAGGTCAATTATTGAACCGGAAAAAGGACAGATTTGCATCAGTAAGAGCCAACTCACGATCCTTCAACTGGCTATATGTCCATGTCTTGTTCTCAAACCAGAGTGCCTCGCTGGCGCCACATCCTTGAACCTCCACGACCCGCTCCAGCATCTTGTACAGGGTCGCTGTATCCCCAAGCTCATTGATCCGCTGACCCAGTCGTTTCGTCCAGGCTCGATCATTGTATATAGTAGTCAAATCCGTGGAAATGGCGAGTTTTGCATTCAGATACGCCCCAGCTGCGACGGTCAGGGCCGAAGCGACCGCCAGCGAAGGGGCTGATATCTCAGAAAAGAGTTCCATAAAGAGCTCAGCTGGTCGAGATGTGATAGGTAGTAGTAGTGGAAGTTGATGAACAGCTGGTAGCAACTGATCTCGTTATGGTAATATCCCCGCGTATATATGATTTGCGGAAGTACCTAGCTTCAGAATTGCAGAAAAGAACAGATATAAGGATGTATTGTTATGACCATAATTATCAAGACCTAGCTTCCAGGCAATTGTCCCAACTCGGTGAATCGAGACGGGAGCTGAATTATGAGAGCTCTGCCGGTCATGACGCGCTCGCAGGAGACTATCTAGGTTGTATATAAAGACGGCAATCGAGGAGCGGATGAGATCCGATAGTTACTGTAATGCTTTTTAATACTACCAGGGGTATCTACGGACTAACTGTCTGGGCTTCTGGGGTTGGAGCGGCGCTAAGCGTTACATATTTAGCACTACGGAGTACCTAGGTAGGCTTCTTCCCCACGGCCCAATTCATGCTGTTCCGGTTCACTCGTTCAGTCCTCCTCCACTCCTCCCCGACGCGGGGATTTTGTTGCATCGTCTTCATGTCCGAGTAGAAAGGATTGAGATGAATGAGAAACCAGTGAACAGCATGACATATTTTGCATATCAAGCACTATGAGATGTAGCAAGTAGCCATGCACAAGTCCTGTGTCGCTTCACCACAGGAACGCAATATTTATGTACTTCTAATGATGGATGAAGAGCATGATTTCTTTCCCCACAAAACAACCTTGAGTGCCATCTAGAAGTGCGAGAATTAGATTTACTACGTACTCTCTCCCATGCTATCTACTGTATCCTGACAAATTTCCCGGCAGTATTGCCTAATCTCAGTCATGGATGTATCCACTGGAAACTACCAATACCGCCCAAACACGATGTGGTACCAAGTCCGACAGCCGAGGCCACTGCAGCCCTGGGATGCGTACGGTAACAATACCACTGCAATACGGGTCGGCGGCAGTGTCGGTCGGGAATCGGCTGGCTTTCTTCTATTTACCACGGTGGATCTATGCATAGGATTTCTCGAACTGAGGTACCACTCTGTACGGTGGTGCAAAAGTCATTGTCGGACCCACATACCTACAGCCAATTAGCATTCAGAGATTGTATGTAGCAGGTCACGTGACTGCCGAGGACTTTTGCACCACACCTCCGTAATACTTCAAGTTATTCAACTGAATGTGATGCTTTTCCGTTTCCTGATTCTGTCTTCTTATCCCATTGGCTCTTATTTGGATCTCGGCTCGGCCTTTTGCCCGTGACATTCGGCTGCAGTGTTCTTCTTGCCCTCCCCAGATTGTCCCAGATACCGCGGTTCATTCAACATCTCCAGACTATAACATAGCGCGGCCATTCTCGCGGGGCAGTTGGCCTTTTATCTCTCGGACTTTTCTTTCTATCTCATATATCCCTTCAAAACTCAAGGAAAAATCCCGCAACGTTTCCGCAGAAGCAGTGTAGCCGGAGTCATGTCTACGCCACAGCAACGGTTGTCCTCGATCGCTAACCAGGTCGCTGGTTCGAATGTGTCGGCGAAGAGCAAGCTGTTGGCCAAGAATCCCGATGATATCGTACGTCTCAATAAAACTTTGCGAAAATCACAGACGAAGACTGACCTCGCTCAGGTGATCACGCTTGCTGTTCGGACTCCTCTCACAAAGGCCAGAAAAGGTGGCCTGAAAGACACCACAGTAGATAATCTCCTGGTTTCATTGCTTACAGTATGTTACCAAATCAATGCCCTCGCCAACCATATTCTATCCTAACAATCTGCAGTCTATCCGCGAAAAGTCCAACCTTGACCCCAACCTTGTCGAAGATGTCTGTGTCGGTAACGTGCTTGCGCCTGGTTCCGCCTACATCGCGCGCTCTGCAGTCCTTGCAGCAGGCTTCCCCGTGACGGCCGCCGCCTCCATTGCCAACCGATTCTGTTCGTCTGGATTGCTGGCGATCCAGAACGTCGCTAACCAGATCATGGCTGGATCCATCGATATCGGTATCGCTGTCGGAGCCGAGAGCATGAGCACCAACGCCGATGGAGGCGCCCCGGAGATGTCTGCTCAGATTATGTCGCATCCTATTGCCTCCCAGAACACCCAGCCTATGGGCCAGACCTCAGAGAACGTTGCTGCTCAGTTCAATATTTCCCGAGAGCAGCACGATCAGTTTGCGGCCAAGAGTTATCAGAAGGCCGAGCGCGCGCAAAAGGCCGGTTGGACCGTCGACGAGATTGTGCCCGTCAAGACCCAAGTCAAAGATCCCAAGACGGGCGAGGTAAAGGATGTCGTCGTTGACCGTGACGATGGCGTTCGCTATGGCACCACTGCCGA